ACAGCCATTTCAGGAAACATCGTCATGGCTATTAGGATTCAACCACTTGTAGCTACTAGCACGAACCCAGTCTTCAACAAGGTCGATATCGCCTGCACAATACCAGCAGCGACATAAAGAGAAACCAGACAGGTGAACAGAATGGACAGCTCAACTTCAACCTCGCATATAGACAGAAATCCCGTGGTTTTCTTTGATATAGCCTTAGGAGGTATGTACATCAAGTGATACAATCTGTTGCAACCCCGTTCTCCTGACCCAGTCAAGCTACAAAAGCACGTCCACATAAAACTTGAAATGAGTTCCATTATAATGTCCATTCGCTGGTGTTGTGCTGCTACTGGTTCATACAGTGTTAAAGCTTGCACTATGCAACAAATCGAATACTAAATGGATAGTAACTGAGATATCACTGTGACAGGCGAGCCTCTAGGTCGTATAAAGATGGAACTATTTGCCGATGTTACGCCCCGAACAGCAGAGAACTTCCGCCAGTTCTGTACGGGAGAAAGTAAAAATGCACAGGGACGACCGCAGGGATACAAAAATAGCAGGTTTCATCGGGTAGTATGTTTATGAGAGGAACCCAATAGGCGTTTGGATGGAAAAATGCTAATTTTATCACATCGGAAAAGATCAAAGACTTCATGATCCAAGGCGGCGACTTCGTCAATGGAGATGGGACTGGATCTTGTACCATTTACGGTACTCCAAGGTTCCCGGATGAAAATTTCCTATTGAAGCATGATCATGCTGGCCTACTTAGTATGGCAGTAAGTCCATGAGCCACAAGACATCCATCGAACTATACAATGACTAATTCCCCTAGAATTCTGGTCCGAACACAAATGGGTGTCAGTTTTTCATTACAACAACTGCAACCCCATTTTTGAATGGCAAGCATGTTGTTTTTGGTAAGGTGGTCGAAGGGATGGATGTCGTGCGGATGATTGAGAACACCAGAACGACGCGAGATAAGCCCAACCAAGATGTTCTGATTGTGCAATGTGGGGAGATGTGACACGATGATCGAAGGATGTTTTAGCATCAAGTTTCCAGTGGCATGATATTTTCCATTTATGTTATACAGAGATAAAAAAAAAAAAGAGCCATAAGCATTAAACCCAGAAGAAAAAGGTAGCTGTCCTTTCGTGGATCTCACCATCGGTCACTTAAGGTCTGTCAATCCCACTAAATGTTTACTAAAGCATAACCAACAACCTATAACTTCAACTTGCCAAGGTAATCAGAAGCTAAGCTGACAGCTTCGTCGACTCTGTCGGGATTGACTCCATTGCCGACTGAAGTAGCTCCTTTACCTCCCGCCTTTCCCCCGACTGCACCAGAAACGATAGCTGCCCACTCACTAGCGGAGGCACCGGCCTCGCTTGATGACTATACAATAATTAATTGTATTAGTTACAATGACTTGGGGCCGGAGTTATAACGATAACGACTTACCTTCGACACGTAACAGCCATGGGCAACACGGCCTTGATCGGTGCTTGCAGCCAAAACGTATACCGACTTCTCGGGTAACTTAGACTTAACGTAATTTAAAGATTCGCTGATCGCTTTGGAATTCGCAGAGATGGGGAGCTTGGCGACAAGCCAACTTCTGTCTTGATTTTCCGGGGCTTGGAAATAATTAGTTATGGTTTCGAGCGCGACTTTTGATTCGAGTTTTTGTAGAGCCTTTTGACCATCGAGAACCTCCTTGTTGATACGTGCGAAACGTTCGCGAAAGGCGGATTTCTGTACAGCAGAAATCGAAAGCTGATTGAGCTCGGCCTGGATCTGCTTTGCCTCCTTCTCTTTTTCTGGAGTTAAGGGCATTGCTTCTAAACGATCAAGCCTTTTTTGGAACTCCGCTGCCAAACGCTGCACTTCATGCGCATCTTCTCCGGTCACAGCGATGATTCTGCGGATACCCTTGGCGATACCGCCCTCTTCCAGAACAATGAGATCTTTAATGTCCCCTGTCTTCTGCACATGGGTACCCCCACAAAATTCAATGCTGATCTCTTTCCAACGCGGATCCTTCACATTCTGGAGTATCTCACCCAGCTCCACACCAACGGAGACAACGCGGACCGGGTCGGGATAAGTTTCTCCAAATACGGCACGAACTCCAGAGATCTCGCGGGCTGTTGCAAGAGGAAGCTCTTGAGAGTAGACAGTACAGTTTTGTCGAATATACTCAGTCGAGATCTCTTCAATCCGAGCCAGATCTTTGTCCGAAATAGCAGACTTGTGAGAGAAGTCGAACCTCAGCTTCTCCGCTGCGACGAGGGAACCCTTTTGCTCCACACCGTCCCCTAAAACAGTTCTGAGCGCAAAGTTAAGAATATGCGTTCCAGTGTGGTTGTTCCTGATCGGCCAACGGCGCAGTTCATCATATTCACAGATGACAGTATCACCTACTGAGATGGAGCCATATTTCATGAAACCAGTGTGCAGGACGTATCCAGCATAAAGCTGAACATCACCTACTTCAAGCTCGGATTGTCCATCGATGACAATTTTACCCGTGTCATTCTCTTGCCCACCCTGTTCAGCGTAGAAGTTCGTTCGGTCAAGGATAATTCCAATTTGCTCGCCGTCGGGCACCTCGTCCGTCGATGAATGGAACATCTTGCCCTGGTATATGGCCTTCACTTGGGCGGTAATGTTACCCTTTCCAAACTTGGCAGTGTCATCAGTCTTGGGGACGTCATTCATGGCTTCGAGCTTGCCCAGATCATGAACATCCAACTTGACCGTCTCAGCGGAAGTTTTCTTCTGGCCTTTGCTTGCTTCCTTTGCTCGCGAACGCGCTTCCTCGAACTCCCTGTCATCGATCTGCAAACCCCGTTCTTCTGCCATTATACGAGTAAGGTCGACCGGGAATCCGAACGTGTCATAGAGCCTCCAAACATCGGCGCCGTGCAATTTGTCGGCCCCCTTTGCCTTAGCCTGCTGGGCATAATGTTCAAATTGCCGCTCGCCGCGATCCAGAGTCTTAGCAAATGACATCTCTTCTTCGTCTAATATTTCCATGACGTCCGGTTGTTTCCTTCTCAGTTCTGGAAACATATCGCCCAGTTGATCAACGACTGTTGGAACAATCTTTGAGAAGAAGTTGCCGATCTCGACACCAAAATATTTTCTGGCATATCGAGCACCCCGGCGGAGAACACGACGGATGACATAGCCGCGGCCATCATTATTTGGAACCGCACCATCTGAGATTGCAAACATCAAGGTCCGAACATGATCTGCTATGACACGATAGGCAGTATCAATACCATCAGAATCATCACTACCGAAGGATCCACGGTATTCCCTGGCTCCGGTAACATCTCTAATGGTTTGGAATATGGGAGTGAACACATCTGTATCGTAGTTTGACGACTTATTTTGCAAGATAGACACCAATCTCTCAAACCCCATTCCGGTGTCGACATGCTTGTTGGGCAACGGCCGCAGGGATCGATCTGTTTCACGATTGTATTGGATGAAAACGTTGTTCCAAATTTCCAATACATTTGGGTCATCTTGATTGACCAGATGAGCAGCATTACGTCCACCGACTCGGTCATAGTGAATCTCGCTGCAAGGGCCACATGGGCCTTGATCACCCATCTCCCAGAAATTGTCCTTCATGTTGCCTGGGAGAATATGATCCTCCGGAACGCCAACGGCTTTCCACAGATCTTTGGCCTCGAGATCTGGCTCTAGACCACCTTCCTTATTTCCTTCGAAATAGGTAACGTAGAGACGTCCGGGATCTAAACCGTAGATCTTGGTTAACAATTCCCAAGAATAGCGAATCGCATCCTCTTTGAAATAGTCCCCAAAACTCCAGTTGCCGAGCATTTCAAAGAACGTCTAATAATCAATTGTGTATTAGCATCATAAAAGCCACGGATTTGGTGGCGTTCTCTCACATGATGATAACTATCCTTGCCCACGTCGTCGAGGTCCTACATTTGCGAGAATCAGTTTATGCTCAAGTCTCTTCGACTAACCCAGCCTTTTATTTCTGGTGGCGATCATGCGCATTGTACTTACATTATGCTTTCCTCCTGCGCGAATGCACTACAGGTTGTGTTAGAATTAGCTAAGAATGGTAGGGTTAAAGTACTGACTTTTTGAGTGTTGACTGCACTTTTCAAGTTTGCGAAGTCAGAGTGAGGATCCACCGTTCCTAAAAAGATCGATTTGAACTGGTTCATTCCAGCATTGGTGAATAGCAAGGTTGGATCAGAATGAGGAACAACGGGAGACGAGGCAACTGGCGGTTTTTAATATGATCAGTTTTGACCGAGAAATTGCCCCGAAAAGAATACTTACCAAAAGTGTGGCCATTTTCTTTGAAATATTGAAGGAACGTATCACGGACACGTTTGGAGGTCCATTCCAACTTAAGATCATTATCTGAAGCCATACTGAATGGTCTTGTGATGGTTTTTGCAGGTAGAATATTTGAGAGTGGGGGAGTGTGAAGGTGGTAGAATGTTCTGGGTTGCGACCTAAAGGGTGAAGATAGATGAGTCAAAGCCAGTTCCCCCTCCTTTATGAACCTATGAATACGCATCAAGCGAGTCGTCGGTTGTAACATCCAGTTTTATTTAATTTGAATATTCACCCTGTCATGTGCAGTACCATAATTAATATATAATTGATTACCAGATCTATTCCCTCATCCACCAAGAAAGGGGAAGGAAAAAAAAAGGTCAGTGGTTGTGTGGCTAATGGCACATGCTGGTGAGGAACTCAATCACGGGAAAAAGCGCCCCGCAGAGAGTTACCCTGAGGGTGATCAGCCTCTGGCGAAGAGATTCGGTCGGTTGCATATCAGTATGTTTCTGCACCATCTATCCTATTATCTGCATTCCCATCACCCTTGTCTAAGATTCACTGGATCTGATTCGAACTCTTTTGCTTGATAAGATACCATAACCTCCGAACATGACATCAGTGACAGGAAGCTTCCTGCTTCCGTCCATCCTGATACCATGTTATTGGACGATACTAAGGATACCATTTACATACATGATCTGGACAGAGAACTAGAGGATATTATAACAAAGGATAATTGTCTTGAGATCCTTCCCGGAGTTGCTGAGCGGATGTCAACTATTCCGAAGTCATTGGTCGCAAATACTGCAAGCCCGTGCAACGAGTTGGTCCTCTACACCGAGCCTACATCATTATCAATCCCTAAGGAGGAGGATAATGTACGAAAAGCGCTGGTAGCTACACGGGAGCGCGCTAGGAGAACTCAACATAATTCTCATACGCAAGGTCGGGACTGTACCAAAAGCTCAACCGCAAGCGCGACTACGAGTGGCCGCGGTACCTTAGAAGGACCTATTGATGTATGTGGTGAGCCAATGGAAATTGATGTTGATTGCTGGGGCAGCAATTCGTCTTGAATCTCAATGAATGATAAACATAAATTATGAGTTTTTAAATCAAGAAAATTTATAAGTTTAAAGAATTACAAGCCCAACATACAAGTTATCTTGAAATGTCTTTTTTAATAATAATCTGTCTTTGTATTTGAGAAGATAAAATAGATAAGAAAATATTATAAGATCAGATATAAGATCTTGCAATACTTTGTAGTACTTTGTGATCAATATTGTAGTTGATAGAAACTTAAAATTCTATAGATATCCTATTATAATAGTTAAATTGTGAACAAAATTTCCACAAAAATTATCAGGGCGTAAGAGAAATAATATTATTATAACTCTCAGATTTACTGAAGAAATCTTATAAGAAAGTTACATATATATTTGGTGTTTAGTTATCTTATAATAGATATAGAAAATAATTATATATTTTTAATTATAATTGTTAGAGCGGGGCAGCTGGCTTACTGTGATCCAGCAGGTCATGTAAGTAATATAGAATCATAACTCATGTAAATAAAATAAGATTATAAAATTTAATAAGAATCCGATATATTTGTATCTAGGAACTTATATATGAGACTAGTAGAAAATAACAATATTATAGAATTTAGAATACTTGGATTTTATAAAAAAAAGATTGATTAGAATAAAAAATATAGAATTTTTGTATCTAGAATACTTTATAAAAAGAATAAAAATATGATTATTATATTTATCTTTATCTATAAGATTTTTTTAATATAAAGATCTTAAAGAAGCCTTCCCTAGAATTTTTATATAATAAAAAAATATATCTTTTTTAAAAAGAATAGTCTCTTGAAATAAGATAATTATTCATAAATTTAATATTTTCTTTACTAGCAGTTAAATAAACTACAATAAGAAAATAGAATTTATATATAATATAAGAAGTTCCGGTTATAATATTAGTTATTTTATTAAAATAAAGCCATGTATTACTATCCTACTTATGTTTTAGATTATTTTAATTAAGTCAATATTAATTACTCTGGAGATTATGACAACCTAAAGACTATACGACTGATCATGTCTGAATGAAGCCTGTGTATTCACGAGGACTAATAAATTTGAAGAAAAAAGGAAAAATTATTTACTCTTTAAACTTAAATTATTTTATATATTTAATTTTTATCTAACAAGTCCTGTTTCTTTCTTATTATTTTTTTATTAATTTTTTATTAATTTTTTATTAATATTTTATTAATATTTTTTGTTTCTTTTTTCTATCTTCCAACTGGTTTTTATTTTATTATCTAGTAAATTCTATATTCTGATTATCTTCTCAAAAATTATTATTAGTGATTTTCTAAGTCTGAGAGATCTCATGATTTATATAAATTAATTATATAATAATTAAAATATTATATATTTCTCTTTTTTAGGCGCGGCTGTTTTTAAAATATAAGAATCTAATATTTTATAATATTATTATTCTTATAATCTACAGGAAATATATTATTTATTATTATATTTAATTAATAAGTATGCTGTACCGGCAGTCTTATATATATTAATATTTATTATAAAATATATAGAATTAAATAGAAATATTCTTAAAATTGTTAGTATTATATTATTTATTATTTAATATATTTATATCTGTTTATTTATATTTAATTAAATAAGATCTTATTAACTTTATAATCTTAGAATTTTTTATCTATAATATTGATATATTATTTAATTATTAATCTAAAAATAAATAAAGTCTTGATTCTACTTTTAATTTATTTAAATTAAAAATTAGATTAATTTTAATATTTTCTAGTAAATTAATTTGATAAGTATAATTTATTTCATGGAAAATTCTATATAAATTTATTTACTTTTTTTTCTAGATTACTCCAGATTCTAAGTAATAATAATATATATTTTTTGTTTTATTTAAAATATTTTATTTTATTTATACTTATTTATTTGTGTTAACTATATTGCCTAAATAATAAAAATATTAAAATAAATAAACTTCTAGATTTTTATTATTTTAATTATTAATTATTTATTCTTTAATAATTAGTATTCAGTTTACATGGAAACTAGAATTCTATTTAATTGAAAATTATATAAAATTTATATTTTTATTCAATAAAAAGAAGAAACTGTCCTGTAATTTTATTCAATAAAATTAATATTATAAAATCTAAAATTAATAGTAGATTAGATTGATTACTCTAATAATGAATTATAAAAAATAATTAATTATTATATTATATATTAAATTATAATCTCTATCTAGCCGTTAGTTTGTAAATAATGAAAAATAAATAAATTTAATGTGATTTTTAATTTTATATATAATTTATTTTAGAAATTTATGATAAACTAAAAATCTTTAATTCTCTATCAGATATAATTTACTACTAAATAATCCTATATATATAAATATATAATAGAAATAATTATACTATTTTCTATAAGATAATTATTTTCTAATATGAAATGAAATAAAAATTTTTTTTATAAATTAATTTATAATTATAAAAATTATATTATAACCATATTTATCAGGCAGAAATAAGTAGAAGTATATTAGAATATATTATTGAAATTAATTTAAGATTAATAGTAATTATAATAATCTTAATAATTAATTATATTATATATATTTTTATAATAATATATTATATAATTCTTAATATAACTGTGTATAATTTTATTATTATCTAGTATAATCAATGTATTTTGAAATTATAATAATTATTTATATATTATTTAATTTTTATTATTTTTTACAATAAAACTCTAGTATTCTTACAGGAAGTTATAAATCTAATTAATTTATAATATTTTATTTATAATAATCAAAACAAGGTCTAGTAGTACTAGAAAAAATATATATCTATTATTATTCTAGATTAAATATATTTTTAGTTTTGATTATTCTAGCTTTAATAGAATTCAATTTCAATAGTTTTTATTATTTTTAAAATATTAATTTATTATATTAAAATATTCATTTATTATATTAATATATTGATGAAAGTATTCTCTTTTTCTGATTAATGATTGTCGGGATCCGGAGATAAATCTGGACGTAATAAGGGTCAGGTGGCTCAGGGGCACTAGTCCGAAAAGGGTAGACAGTCTAGTATAGAAAGACCTAATATAAAGATAATAATGCCTCTTTAATCACTTGACCAAAGAAGGTACAGTCAGGTGATAATCATAAGATAATAATATAATCAGGTCACGTGATACTAGTCCCAAATAGGAAACTATGTATTGAATCATAAGATATATTAAAATAAGTATAATTAATAAACTTATTAAAGAAAAGTAATCCTACTTTCTAAATAGAAAAGAAATGAATCCTTAGATAGATAGTAAATAAGTTGGATGACTTGAATAACTTAGAAGGCTTAGTCTGAGGGCTTTGAGCAGGGAAATATAGTCTCTATTTATCTTTAATTCACTGCCTGTAGTGAATGAATCTAGATCAGGATCATGAATCATCAAGAAAATAAAGAAATCATAATCAACTAGTCAGAATAACGCAAGAATCACATTTCAAAGAGAGAAATATTAGATTTATAAGAAATAGGCCCAATCTGCTCCGTGAATATTAGGTATTATATATGATTTTGTATGGGGTATGTAATGAATCTGGATATTCATGGGAACAAGAGTTTGCATATAAATAGATAAGAATTCAATTAGTAAGGTAAAAGTGAATTCCAGCCGACAATAATAAATTAGAAAATAAAAATAAAAAAATGATTTAAATTATTAAATTAATTAAATATTAAGATATTTATTTATTATAAAGTATCCTAATAAATAATAATTAATATATATGTAAAATTATTCAGTTTACTAGAATTTCTTAAACTCGAATTATTATTTTTCTAGAAAATATATAATTATTAATATTTTCTTATTATCGATCATAAACCTGCTCTACTGAAATTATAATTTTAAAAAAATAAATTATAAAATATTTATTCTTTTTATTCTTTTATAATAAAATATTTATAATTATTATTTATTGTATTAGTTTCTAATTGAGTCTCTCGGGTCGGGTTATAAACTATTAAAATTAAAATATCTATAAATATTTTTCAAAATTAAAAAATATTTTAATATTATTTTATTTATTTAAAAAAGACTTTATCCTTGGTCAGGTATATTAATAAATAAATAGTAATTTAATTGTAATTTTTAATAAATTATTAATAAAAATTATACAATTCTAGAAAGAAAAATATATTTTATATTATAATAAATATTTTCTAGAATATTATTATACTGATTTTTTTAGAATTAATCGCGATGTTGTTTTTATTAATAATAAATGTTAGATATTTTATTTTAATAATATAAAATTTATATTTATAACTAATAATTTATAATCCTATTTCTTAGAAATATTTGAAGATTTTCCTAATATAAATTTTATACTTAATCTTATTGTTACTATAAATAAGAAGATTATTAATATATATAATTATATATAAATTTAAATATTTTATTATTCATATTTTATTCATTAATCATTAATATGTAGCTGGTCTATTTAATAGTTTAAGAAAATATTTTATATTGAAATATTTTATATTAAAATTAGAAAATAATAAAATCTTATATATATAATTATATATAGATTTAATAAAGATTTTTCTTTTATGAGAGCCAATCAAATAATCCTATTCAGAGTATCTAAACTAGAATATTAAACATGAGAGAGAAAAGGAAAGGAGTATAAGAGAATATATATAAATAATAAAAATAAATAAGTAAGATAAAACAAATAAAATAGATAAAGAAAGATTATATATAATATATAAAGTAAATAAAAACTATATTATATATTTTAATTATATTTTAATTATATTTTATTATTATATTACTCTTTTCTTTAAGACTGGCTGCTCTTAGTCAGAGATATATTATTATTTTTATAATTAATATAAATTTGTCAGCCTCAGCGGCGGCCAGCCACTGTAATAATTATTTTAAAAATCCAGGACAGATAGAATATCTAGTATGATAATTTTATAAATAAAATAAAATATTCTTAAAACTTCTAGCTGGATAAAATATATAATTTATTTTATTTAAAGCAAGCCACTTA